GTAAAATTAAAAAATTTCTATAATAAAGCTTATAGAATATGTTTTAAATAAAATATTGTATATATAAATTATACCTCATCTCATATTATTAATAATCTTTAATTTTATTTAAAAAATCATAAATACTTTTCAAAATTCTAGGCAAATTTGCCTAGAATACAGTTTAAGGGATAATTTTTAATTTAATTATTTACCTCGTGAAGTTGTTATATTAGATTGACCAAAAAGAGGCGATTCTGACCAAAGATTTCCTTTCCACAATTCTTCGCATGAGTCAGAAAAAATTTCTGGTCCAAAGTACAAGTAAGAGCTAATAATTGGATTTTTAATATGCATTAAAGATACTCAATTAAAGAGAAGTAATAAACTTTTGTAAAATTTTTTGTTGTAGATGGTGTATTTCGAGTATTAATTGGAACTTTATGACTTCGGATTTGCATTAAAGGTAATTTTTCACAATATTTTTTGAGTGTTGGTAGATTAGTAATTAGATAAGTTTTATCAAATTGTGAATGAAGTAAAATTTGAATTAAGTTGTAATAAGCTGTTTTTGCTTAAAAAAAAAATAATAATTAAAATCGAATTCATATCGATATATTTAAAAATCTATTGAATTTTATACAAATATATATTTACATATCATATGTTTTACAGTCCACGTAAACATCGCCATAGTTGTAAAGTTGTCAAATATGCCAAATTGATCTTCTGAATTCTATTTTATATTAAAATTCATTTTATCAAATATTTCTGATAAATTATCGAAAGTTTCATCTTCAGAGCTATTATTGTCTGAATTCATATCTTAAAACTCATTGTCATATTCCATATTATTCCAACTTGTTTCATTCAATTTGTCATTATTAGGTTCTCTATTATAATATTTGAAGTTTCTATTGTTGTTATCGTCATATCCAAATTCTTGGTTATCATGTTGCCAATTTTGGGTTTCAATTTCATCGATTTCATTTGAATCTTCTTGCTGCGGCCAATTATTATTAACTTGGAATATTGAAATATTATCATAATTAAGAGTTGTATTTTTTGTAGTTTTAGGTGCTTTTAAGCAATATTGTAAAGTTTTAGTTTGTAAAAGTTGGTGTCTGGACATGTTTAAAGAAAAGAGAAATTTTTATGCAAAATTCTTATGCGAAATATATACCAATTTGGCACGTGATACACGTGCCATGATTCTGATTGATCAGATCTATATAACAGAATATAATTACATATGCAAATATTGGTAATATTATGCAATTGCTTACTTATCATTAAATTAATATAAAATAAAATAAATGTTTCTTTTTAGAAAATTTGTTGTTAAATATGGCAAAAACTAGAGGTGGAAAAACTACAAATAGTAAAAGGGTGAAAAAAAAGCTATCAGTAAATATAGCATACTTATAAAGACTTAACAAAATATTAATATTAATATTAATTAATACTGTATTATTACTTTTAGAAGAAACATCTGACAAAGAGAATTCTAAACAACAAGTGATATCTAATAAACGTTTAAGACAAACGATTTATGAAATTGGCAATTTTTTTTATAAATTTGATTTTTACTAATATATGTATTAATAAGAATTAACTTATATTTATTTATTTTTTTAGATAAATCTAATAAACCTGCTCATGCTCCATTTGTACCAATGAATTTTAATAATAACGTACCGATACCAGCTAATAATGTAGCTCGATTAATTCAACGAAGCCAAGACTCTTATAATTATAATGATTATTCGTAGAATTATACAAATTATACAAGATCATTATACAACATTAATCCAGAATTAATTCATAATTCATCATCAAATGTTTCAATTCAGTCGAATTTTATAAATCCAAATTTGACTTATAATACTTATTCATCAAGTAAAAATTTCAATAGATTACAAGTCTCATATAATAATACAAATAATTTTGAAGACAGATCCATGATATCCAAAAACTCTGTTATATCAGAGCAGCAGCATAGAAGTTTGTCACAAGCAACCACTATGTCATTGGACGAAGTATCAGATTTGTATTCACCAACTTATCAAGATAAAGACTCCTCATGGCAGCAAAATTCTTATAACTATTATAAAGAGAATGATTTAAAATCAAATCTACAACCTTAGCATACACTAGTAAATTCTTATAATACGGCTAATACAGCTATTCAACGACTTGATAATAACTCAAAAGAGTTAAATTTTTCTAATGAGCAATTATTAGTTAATTGGCTATATACATGGCCAGATTTGATTATGCAAGTACAAAATTTAACAGCATCTTTACCAAATAAGGTTTGTTTAATTTATAACACATGTAGATACGTACATATATACATACATATGTATTAGTTTTATTCTAATCTATACATTATTTATTAGGCTGAAGCTAATCTCTTAGAGCCAACAGATAAAGAAACTACAATAAATCTAGTTATAGAATAATGCAAACTTTGTTTTTACACATACGAAATCCTAGCAGAAAAATATGTAAAAAGCTAATTAAAAAGATTGTTCAATCAATGGATCCAGTGTCTAAAGAATTCAAAGCGTTATATCAGAAAACATATGAATACTTCAATAATTTTTGATGTATATTTAATAAGAATATAGCAGCTCTTGCCAAGGATTTACTTGTTAAAAACTGGTATATATAGAACATTAGATATAAATAATACAGCTCATCATTTAGTATTACATAAATGTCTATGGATAGACTAATGTTAATATTTAATATCGAATATACTGTAGTGATCCAACAGATGAAAATATTGAACAATTTGTTGCTGGTAAAGTCTGGCAACAAAAACTTAGTAAATATCTTGAAGCTAGTAACTTCTCGGAGTTTAAAAAATCTCAATCTTTACTCAAGTCACTTGAAAACTTTATTGCTAAAAGTTTGAAAATTCATGTTGATTATCAGGTTGTGGTTCATAATAAAGAAAAACTATTTTATAGTAAAAATATCTTAACAAAAATTAAGAAACTCAATCAACTTACTCTTTATATAATTATTCCATTGGCAAGCCAACGAAATTGTGTGAATGAATTGGATCTTAATCAAATTGATATAGAGTCTTCAGATAATGAGTAACACTCTAACTTTATTTAGTTAATGCTGAAAAATGCAGTCTTTTCTTATTATAAATATTTTCTAATATAACATAACAGCTTAGTGTTTTAAAATAAGATCTTTTAAGGAGTGTGGCAGCTTAGTGAAGTGGTCAAGTCGTCACCCTCTCCAAGTAGCAGATCTAGGGTTCAAATCCCATGGACGAC